CTCTTGTCCGGCCCACTGACGGCATGTAGCCTTTAGGGGCGCCCAGTGCTCTCTGCCTTTTGGTTGAAGCCCCTCATCTGCCTTCAGTGTGAAGGCAGGGCCCGGAGGAGGACTGATCGGAGGGTCCCTGTCGGTGGGGCCATCCGAGAAGAAGAGAGGGGCGAGGGGCAGGAAGGAAGCTACCATCAAATTGAAAAGAAAAAGCCCTTTGACTTCCCCCCCACCCCCTCCAATGGCTGTGTAGCAATCATCCTCGGTGGCACCGTGGAAGGGAAGAAGTTGGTCTGCAGTCACAATTGTGTGGGTCTAGTTCGCAGTCGTGAGCGAGGGGCTCAGAGATGGAGCGGTGGTCCTCCAGGTGGAAAACGAAACGGTGGCTCTGGCATTTCACCATCACAGTCCTCTCACTGACTTTCCTCTTCCAGGCTAGAGAGGTCAGAGGAGGTAAGAAGAAAATTGCTTTTGGGGAGGTGGGAAATTTGCCGTCGGTCTTTTTCCTGTGGCGCCCCTCCCCCCCTTTCACCCCTCCTTCTTCCTCCTCCCACCCACTCCCAAAAAACAATTCCCTTAAATAAAATCCAGATTGTAGCTGCCACCAGGTTGCAAGTGGAGAGTGAAGAGAGAGATAGATGTAGGCGAGACAGTAATGGGAGAGGAGGTGGGGCGGGGGGGAGATCTGTCAGGCACTGAGCCTGCTGAAATGCCCTTCATCACTTTCAAGCCTCTTTGAAACGAGGAAAAATATTACCTTGAATTCAAGGGCAGGTTTACAAAGCTTTTTGTTTGAAGAGCAATCCTTCCTTGGACCGCCCTTTGAACACATCTAGTTTCTTCAGATTCTTGCTAGTGGAAATATCGGTTTAAGGGTGAGTTGAGGAGAAAATAGAGAGAGAGGGTATAAAATGAACCTTGATAAAGTTCTTTGTCTTTGAACGAAGTGAGGGGAGGGAAAAAAAAAAGCTGTTTTGCTCTTTGGGATATAAGAGAAACCTGAGGGATGAATCTACAGGATCGAGAACACTTTTTTCCTGGTGCATTTTCAAGAGATTTTAAGTGGAGAATTTGGCAGAATGCAAGGAAGCAAATACAACTGGTTCAATAGAGAGGAACAAACTCTTTTCACTGAATTTCAGTCCTTTTCTCCCCTCTATGACCCCCCCCCCCCGCCTTCTTCTTGCAGGTTGGACGTGCAGTTCTCTTGGAGAATGATGAAACTCATCAAGCAATTGGGGTGGGGATGGAGGGATAGGGGCTGAGAGAGAAAGGGAGGGGTGTGGGATGGGGTGGGAGGAGAGAGGTAAGGAAAAGTTCCTACGTGGCACCACCAAATATTCTATGAGTAGACCTGCTCTGAAGACTGCAGCCCTGTCAGTACTCAGGGAGGAAGAGTGAATTTACTCCTCCCCTCAGTTTCCTCCGCCCTTTCCCACTGAAGCATCTGGTTGGAGCGGTCCGTTAGGTGCTGTGGATGCGGCTGGCAGGCAAATGCTTTTGGAGTTCAGAAGAAGTCCAGGCAGTTTAGAGGAAAAATACAAGTTTTTGTTTGAGAAGTACAGAGAGGAGATGGAGGTTTAGGGGAAAAAAAGATGATAAATAAAGAGTGATGGACAGAAAATAAAGTGAATCCCAGAAGACACAGGCATTAGGAGTAACACAGGACTCTAGTCTTGGTTCTAAATGCCAACACCTGAGTTCTCTATTAAGTGAATTAGCGCTTCCTGAGGTCAGAATCTGTTTTGTCTTCTTTTTTCTTGGTTCAGCTTCCAGAATGGCAAGGAAAGTGCTGGATCATTCCTCAGTAGCTGTGTGTTCTGATAGCTGCAGGCAAAACTGCCTAACAATGTATTTATTAAACTTTGCAGTGAATTATAACAACGCTAACGGATCAATCCATTCTCTTTTACATTTACAAGAATAAGTAAAGGAGCTTGAATGTGGAATCCTTCAAAAGTGCTTTGTACTTTGAGTACCTGGTCACCAGTTGAATGTAGCAGTGCTGTCAGTAGTTCTGCCCTCTGCTGGTGTGACTTTATATTTGGACTTAAGGCATCTGTGTTAGGTTAATGAAGGCTTATGTATTTATTTATTTTAAAAAATCTTTTAACTACTAAAGTGGTTGAAAGAACACTGGATTAAAGAATAGACAGTCTGTTTCTTCTTCAGCATGCTACATGCACGTGTGACCAACGGTAAAAATTTCTACTTATTTGAAAGTATAGAAACTAGGACATTGATCTTTGTGAACATGGATGAAATATAACCTTAAGAGATGCCATTGTATATCTTCACTGTTTTACAGAAAGCATTTTCAGTTCTTTTTCACTTTGGGTCTTTTATAAAGCATTCAGAATAGCAGAAAACAAATATCCACACTGCTGTTGCATAATTTTCTTTTCCCCCATCTAGTTTCGTACTTGAAATACATTTAAACAAACATGTTAGTATTGCACCCAATAAATGATAGACACATTCTTCTTTTTCTACAGTCAAGTAATATGAGAAATTGCAAAATATTAGATGTTAAGTTTCTGTCTTTCATTCCTGATAAGAAGATGGTTTGAATAGTCATGTTGTAAGATTTTGGTTTTTTTCTTCCTTTTTCTATCAAGTTGCTTGGTGCTTATAATATACTGGGAGGCCATATACTCACTTAAACTTATAGGAATTTGTTACTTAAACATGAAAAGTGAAATAATAGTGTATGCATATTTACAAAGGCAATGGGGTTTCAAGGTCTAAACCACTACACAGGAGAAAACCAGCCTCAGTTTACATATTAAGTTCTAGATATTAGAATTGCAGTTGAAGTTACATCCAGTAGGATTTTTGATTAATTTTTCAAGTAATTATACTCTAGTGTTTACAGATCTATTTATTTATCCAAGGAGAATTGGTGTAGTTTTGTTTCTAAACTAAGAAGAAAAAAGCTTATTGTCACATAAAGTTCTATATTCATAATAATTTTAGATTCTTAGGAAAGCATAATTTAGTATCTCACCTTATGAAGAAGGTTCTTAGGAATAAATGAATTAAAAGAATATTTATGACCTCAGAAATATATTATTTTACTTTGAAAACCCAAATTCTCTAGCAAATTCAACATTCTACTGGAAATCTTTACCATATTTATTAAACATTTTAAATTTTTACTATGATTTTATATAAAAGATAATGTGGATTATGATTAAAATAAATTAACTATTATGATGGATTTGTGTGTTTTTAATATATGCATTTAGAATAACTTCACTTTTATTTTTTTTAATTGTCTCATGGTTAACATAAATCAGTTATGTCAAAAAATTAAGAAGGTTTTGCCAGTCCAATACATATTATATGCAGGACCTAAGATGTATAGTAATTATACTGTGATTATATTAAGATAGATTGTTTTATGTTGGGTATTAAATTACACAATAAAATTTAAGATTTTGAGAACTAAATAACTGAATCAATTTTTAGTAATTAAAATTACATCCAACCTTAAGTAGTTAAACCATTACTGTGACTTACAAAATGTTTATCAGTTTTATGAGGAACTTTCCAAAACATGTAATTGGTAGCGGGCCCCTAAGGAGCCTTGTTTTGAGTGCCCAGGATCAGCAGGTGAAATGGTTGTGGACTCCAGAGTATGTGCTAATCCAATTTTGCGGAGAGATCAAACTGGTCCCTTAGATTTTTTAATAAAAAAATCTGATAAAGGATCACATATGCTCCCCATAACAAATGCAGAGTTTTCTAGGGTTATTAATATTTTCAATTTGCATTATTAAATTAAGTGATGAAGAATAAGTGGTGTTTTATGAGACTTATCTCTGTGCTAATTTTGCACCGATAATTACAGTTTAGTTGACACAAACATAGTCATATAGACACTTTCACTTTAATGCCTATTAGTTTTCAAATTAAGTCTATTAATTTCAAAAAAATATCAGTTTGTTTTACAATTACCATTTCACTGAAGGATTAACTTTATAAAAGTGACTCTGAGGTAAGGGGTTATTTTTGTAAATTTAAAGCAAATTTTAAAGGGGAAATATCTGGTGTGATAAAACAATGTATATGAACTTTGTAAGTACATCTTCATAAAATAATAATAATAATAATAATGATAATAATAAATTATGAAACTATAAAATGAGAAATTTGGTTGCTTATAGTTTATTAATGAAATTTATTAAAGTTCAATGATTTACCTCAATTTGTGACTAAGACAATAGAAGCACTATATCATTACTAAAGTTGTTACTCCATATATACAAGACAATCATGACTCCATTTCAGATTTGTGGGTCTGATAAAAAGTCCACATAGCCATCTTTCTTTTCCTAAAATATCTTGCTGTTTTTCATAGACAAATCTTTACATTGGCTAATGACTAAATTCAAGCAGAGCTTAGTCCATAGTATCTGCGCAATAAAGTTAACATTTTTTTAAAAATGAAATTTTGTTTAGATGCAATTTAGAGAATGCCAGAGTTAGTGATTACTATAGAAATTATATATTAATCTACCTCATCACTTATTAATGAGAAAACTGAAACACAGAAAATTGTTAGCTGAGTATTCATTCCTAGAAATATATAGAAGTAGCCTTATAATACTCAATTTTTTCCAAGGAAGAGGATGGACATCTGTAAGAGTAATGAAAAACATCTCTTAAATTACTAGAAATGTGAGACTAATTGAATGGTTAAATATTACCTAAATTTATTTATTTATTTATTTTTGGTCACAGTGTCTGAACAACATAAGAATTTTTTTTAGTTTCAGAAAATAACAAATGGTAGGGGACTACTTGCTGTTGTTAATGGACTGACTTCTATGATATTTGGTATTCTATACACAAGCATAATGAATTTTACTTACAACATGTCAAATTTTGAGGAATGATGAAAGAAAAATTTAATTTTACTTGTCAATATTTACTTGTAGAAGTCCAGCCTTCAAGAGCTAGGATTTTTACCAGATTAAGAGTCTTTTTCCTAACTTTAGGGAAATGCACTGAAAATTTTGCTTAAGATGATGTCACATACCATAGTATTTTTACACACGATGAACAATTTTTCTAAACCTCATTTTATAACTGTTGAGGCTTGTGCATTATTTTATGTAATTTTTAATGATGACATTTAGGTTTTCAAAAGGCAAAATTTTATTCAGGCTTGGATATACTCTTTCCTCTCTACCAATGGAGAAATAATTAAGAGCAGTTGGTGCAATCATTAGGAATTCAAGACTATTGCAGAGTGGGGAGCTGGGCTGCATTTCTGCTTTTACCCCTGAACTCCTCTCTTTTAATTCTGGGGAAATGTTACCTGAGCTGGGAGTGGTGAGAGGAAACTAAACTGTGTGAGGATTTTGTTGTTTTGTTTTTTTTTTAACCATTGAAGTTTTGTTCCTTAGCAATGAAGAAAGGTATACAGAGATGAAATAAAACGTTGC